TCTCTGCTTATATGGTAACAGTCATTCAGCTCATCAAACTAGGCACAGCAATCACTAAATAGGGGTAGGAAGAATTTTGAGTGTGTTTTTGCTGTTCCCCTCACCAACTACTTTACTAGTAGCTTATTGCAAGGAGATAGATATGAAGTAGCAGGTACAAAAAAAAGAAAAGAGCAATAACATTTCTCAGTTGGCTTTTTGCAGGGGAAGAGGAGCTTCCCCTTGGAAGTTTCTTTCCCTGAATTAAAGACAATGCTTTGCTGGCCAGGGTTTCATTGGCCTTGGTCTTTGTAATAATGTGAGGGATGTGGACTATGGATCTTTGTCCTTTTCAAGAGGAGGAGCTTGTGACGTGGTTTAAAACTGCAAGTATGAAAATCTGATCAGCAAAGTTTAGCAGCTATACGTTTTGACTCAAAATCTAGTGATATCTTACATTAAAGAATAAAGACATTTACAAAGCCACAGGTCTTTTATGGCAATGATCAGGGAATGATCAATAAATACAGAAAACAGTTTTTCCATGATGTAAAACAATGGCCCAGAGGAGACTGATAAATGACATTAAACTGCAGCTTTCCTCATTAGAGCTGTTGGTAAGGTGTGTCCTGTGATTAATGACAGATCATTTATACAGCATTACCAGCAGGCAAATAATTCTAATTACCAGTAACGTCAAATCATAATCACTATGGAAATAGTTTACATAATGGGATAGAATATTTGGTCATTACAGGGCAAACAATTCACTATGTTAACTGAGGTTAGTCAGTTATGGCAGAGTAAATAACATTAGAAATTAAACAAAGCCAAGCTAATATCAGGTTTTATCCAGTTAATAAGCAGTAAGCTTATCCCTAGCAAAACACATCAGACAATGAAAAGACCATGTAAAAACACATCAGACCTTGTAACTTTGGTGTCTAATGTAACACAAATTGGAGATAACATGTAAAAACTTCCTGTCAAGCCAGATGTTACTGGCTGTCTGAGGTGCATGAAAAAGTGGTTGGGGAAATTCGCAGTGAAGCTTACTGATTTTTATTGCTTCATAGATGATACTTTCCTGTATTTGCAGGGTTAAATCTTCAGATGCGAGCCACAGGATCTTGTTTACAGTGTGAAGGATAAAGCACTGTGGCAGTCAAAACCAGCCCAATGAGGCCAGTCTGTGTTCACACACTTGAAACATAGCTGTAGAAGTAGCATTATACTAAATCTGGCACTAATCTAAATCTATTAACAGAGTTATTTACAATCATAAAATCAGTTAAAATTCTCACCCAGCACATGGGGCATGCAATGTGCTAGAAATATGGTGGAAAGGAAGAGAGCAAAATGTACAGGAGGTAATAATATATCTTGGTAAAAAGCAAAAGGGAGCACAGAGAATGCTGTATTACCACAATTGTGAAAATATGGATGAGAGGAATGAGTTATATACTTGACTGTGGAAATGAAAATATTACGATGTTGGGGATGGGGTAAAAGGAACAGTGTTTTCCAGCTTTTCATTTCCCTACTGAGAGGAAAGGATAAGAGGCAGACATTGTTGCTGTGAAGAATGCCTGAAAGCTAACAGATGTATTTGTGAGCTTTAATGCAGATTAATTTTTTACTGAAGAGAGATTACATTTTATTTGCTTGTTCTCATTCTCTTTTGTCTTCTGAAATCATAAAGCAGAAAAGGGTAGCTGGGTTACAAAGCTGGACACTCAGGCACTGTCGGGTATCTTAAAGGCATTAAAGACGCTTTCACAAGGGACTCGTCTCCTTGTGATGCTGAAGGACATTTGGACATCAGCAGTGAATTCTAGCGGAAATCGCCATCCATGGTAAACAAATTGGAGACAAACCCTTATTTTGGACTCTGTCCTTATTCAGTGTTGCTCTTGTGACTCATTTTTGTTTTCCCAGTGTCTCAGATAACTCCATGCTAGGACACGGACAGATGTCCTCCTCAAGATCCCAAGTGCTGTTCAACCATTCTACCCCCAGTTGTTTGCACAGCCAGCAGCTGGAAGTATCCCCATGGCTCTGCTTCTGGAAGGGATCTTGGGTGGATTTTCTAGAACAGTTCAGGCAAACAGCCCCAATAGTGCAAACTAGTTTCATCAGCTGTTTAAATTAACTGAGTTGTGGTTGTCTGAAGCAGATTAGCAAATATTGACAAGATTTCTCCTGAGGACAGTAATCTCTAGCATAAGCAAGTATCATACAGCTGGGGAGAGAGGGTATTTCCAATCTTATTTCCATTTCCAATGGGCAGAGCTGTGTGAACGTACATCCCTGATCTTAGGTGGCTGTGATGAACAGCTGTGCAGTAACTGAGCATACTGAAAGCAAGTTAGCCAAACTGAGGTCAGTCAACGGGATGGGAAGTAGGGGGATGGTTCTGGCATGTTCAAGTACCTACAAAAAGAGCTTTGTTTTCATAGGTGCTGCCTGGTTTCTGCTGTTATGGAAGTTAACGTTAGTTGCAGATGCTCAGCACCTGTGGAACCACCAATTTATTCAGGAATCTCACTCTTTATTAAAGTGCCAACTTTAATCTTAGCTCTGGAAGTTTTTCTCATGTACACAGGCCTTCTGAGGTTTTAATAAACTCTCTTTAAAGGAATCCTAATCTCAGTTCCTTCAGTTCTTATATTACCAGGAACAATATTTAGAGTGTGAAGGAGGCTGGGAGAGAGATTGGCCAGTCCTGTAGCAGGTAACAAAAGTGATTTTGTTGTAGTTCTCTAGTAAAGCATCAAACTCACTTCATGCATTGTGACTATGCAGCACAGATGTGTGCTTGCCAGTCAACTGCTTTGCCTATGAATGCACAAAAAGACATTTTTAAAGAGACACAAGGAGCTGCTCAAGCGTTTGTAAGCCCAGACATAATAAGAAAAGTGAGTAAGGTGGTACTGAATTAACTACTTTGATATTAAAACTGTGTAACATTATGGTGTGATAGGGCTTGAATTGAGAGAAGAGCAATAAATTAGTTTTATCCTATTTGAAATGCTTTATTAGATACAATAGTAGATAATACAGAGGTTTAAAATATACTTGTGCAGAGATGAATTCTTCCCATGTTTAGTACATTGGTAGTCAGATATACTGTATTGCTGAAGAGTGGGTTATGTGAGTCACTTTCAACTTATTAGCTCTAATCTGGATGTGACCGTTTCAGCTTAGCAAGACAGAGGCATGATGTCCAGGCAAGCAGTGCTGTAATTACTCCCCAGATTTCTTTGTGAACCAGCAATGCGCTGGATCAGGAGCTTGGCCAGTACTTGCCTGCCCAGGGACTGCAGGTTCCTGCAGGAGGGTGCTTCCTGCTGCAGTTCTGGTGAATTCAAAATCCTTAGCTTCTGCTTTTTCACTTTTAAGGCTTACTTCTGCCCTGCTCTTCACCACATGGCTTGCTCTTTTCTAACCATGTACCAACAACAGTTGCTACCTCGTTAGGCAGTCCTTGATCACTATGGTTATTAAAACAAACTCATTCATTCATCAGTATTAATTAATGCATGTTATTCAAGGCTCCTGAACTTCCTAAAATATTTTTCCTTGGTAGTTGTCGTGGTTTAAACCCAGTCAGGTAACTCGTTCACTCACTCCCCCCCACCTTCTTTCCCTCCCCCTACTCCCAGAGGGATGGAGAGGAGAATCAAAAAGAATGCAACTCCCACAGGTTGAGACAAAAAACAGTTTAGTAACTAAGGTATAACACAAATCACTACTGCTACCACCAATAATAACAATGATAAAGGAAATAACAAGGCAAGAGAATACAACACCTCACCACCAGCCAACTGATAACTTGCCCCCCCCCAGCCTGACCAAGCACTGACCCATACCTCCTCCAACCCTGCAGTCCCCCAGCCCTTCCGACTAACTCCCGGTTAGCCCCCCGGGCATGACGTGCTGTGGTATGGAATACCTCTTTGGCTAGCTTGGGTCAGGTGTCCTGTCTCTGCTTCTTCCCAGCTTCCCCTCCTCCCTGGCAGAGCATGAGGCTCACAAAGTCCTTGGCCAGACCAAAACATCCGTGTTATCAGCTCTGTTCCTGAGCTGAAAGTCAAAACACTGCACCGCACCAGCTACCAAGAAGGAGAAAAATGACTGCTGCTGCTGAAACCAGGACAGTAGTGAAATACCTTTTGACCACACTGATTTAACTTCTAATATGCCTAGCATCAAAGCCTGTGTGCAGCAGCAGTTCATGTAAGTTGAGATCCCGCAGCCCAGGTCAGCCTGGATGGGGCACGGCTGTGTGAAAACAGCTACCTTTGAGAAAGAGCTACAATAAGCCTTGCTTGGGACACCCTGTGGATCCTCTGCCCATGACCCATCACGTGCATTTAAGCTCCGTGGACTGAGACCACACTAGTGAGGCCCTTACCTTGCCACCTGACTGGTGCACACAGCTCTGGAGCTCAAAGACTCGTGGCTCCCTGGTGCCTGTGGTGCCTAACGTAGCAAAATATCTGAAAGTAACCAACTACCTGCTCCAGGGCCAGATCAGGCACCTGGTACTGGATGTATTTTCAAAACACTTAGGTTTTATCTAATTTTATTTTAAATAATCTCTTCCTATTTCACTTGAAAGGGATTCTTAAGCTTGCGTGCAGATTTATGTCACTTCAGAGGAACACAACAGGACTTGAGAGATGAAGCCTTTGTGTGTCAACTACATGAGAAAATGAGAGCAAATCCTTCTCCTCTACTGAGGAGAACTAATGAAACAGGGCTACTTAAATTTGATACTCATGCTTGGCCACACTGTTATACCAGAATTCATTTTTTCGATCACTGGGCAGAGTGAAACCCTGCTCTGAGGCTGGACGGTCCTTCCTTAATCTGGGCTCTTAACAAAGCTAAAAGCATGGTAATTCTGGATCTACCTGAATTTACTGAATATTCTGTTTAGCAGACTAGCTAACTGTGTTTAAACACAACATCCTTCATTTAGTCCAAGCTATAACAGTGATAGAGACAATTCATACCCATTCCCAAGATACACCATGCTGCTGTATGCAACCATGTATTTCCCTATCTTCAGCCCATGTTTCAACATCATCTAAAATGAAAACAGACGAACAGGCCTTGGAGAGAATTTACCAAGCAGTTGACTGATCCAAGACCTTCCTGTAACCCTCCCTTCTCTCTGAGTACAGTAGTTACACTGATATAGTGATGAATTAACCTACTGCAGCTTACTTTGACAAGATATATTTCCCTTTAAACTGCATACATACTGCTTGATTCTCCACCTGCCTGTATCTTTGATGGAGAATAGGTTAATTCCCTTCACCCTTTTCTAACTGAAAAAATAGGTTTTCTGTAAGTTGCATTTCAGACACTTGGTCAACAGTGATGGATGGCTCACCTTTCTCACCTTCTCAGGGAAGACATGCTCAGGCTCTCTTTCCCACCTGCCACTGGAGCACTGCCACTCCAAAACCTTCACTTCTGTTTAGATAGACTTGCCAATAGGTTCCATGCTGGCAATCCATTAGCATTTTCCTTAATTTCCACTTACTTATCCTGGAAAGTCTCCTTCCTCCTGCATATTGTAGATTGAACTCAAAAGCTCCCCTTGTCTGCTCTGTTTTTTTCATATTCCTACTGTCAAAAGAAAATCTCTCTCAGCAGTGGCCCCAAAGAAAGATTACTTACAGTTGGTGATGCAAAACTTTGGCAACATGCTTGTCTTTTTTCTCACAAACAATGCAGGATAGCTAACACCTCTTTGAAATTATTTATGGAAACATTGCTGCATTATGTGTGATCTACCTATGCTATGTTGAGGAAACATAATCTAAACCAGGGAAGAACACTAATTCTGGCTAGATGAAAACATGTTTGTTTCGTATTGCTGTATCAACATGCTTACTATATGAGCATTCTTAATCAGTCATTTTCTCATGAGAGAAAAGTTCTTGGACTTCATTGATATTCACGTATTCTTCTTAACCCTGCTGTTGAGGGCATTACCTCTTTCGTTTTAATGAAAGCTGAGCAGAAGATGGAAACCTCACAAAAGGTATTTATTTGCTGACCTGCCTGAATCTGGGCACAGGAGATAGTGTGTGATGGATTGGGCAGAGTAGGAAAAAAATAGCATTATTTGCCTCTTGTAAAGTGATATAGCAAAGAGAACATAAATGAAGTAGCATTAATGCAGCAAATAGGAAAGGGGATAACTGTCTTTCAAAGACTACTTTAGAAAAGGGAAGAAATATATAGACTGGCTATACTTGTGAAAAGTGGATGGCTCAAGAGCATCTTAAGAACCTGAACATGCACAAGTCCATGGGACCTGATGAAATCCATCCGCGGGTCCTGAAGGAGCTGTCGAAGGAAGTTGCTAAGTGTGGGGAGTGAAAGGCGATAAGATTTGCATGAAAAAGAGATTGGGAATGAGCTCTGAGGCCTTGGTGCTTGACAAGCCCTGGGGCAATGAGTTGGAAGGTTGAAGGACAGGCAAAGTAAACAAGTAAGCCTTGGGAGGATGGGCCAGGATGCAGCTGTGGCGGGAATCTCAGCTGGAGGCCAGAGGATGTGGGGATTGTGAGAGGGTCTGAAACACTGTGATTGGACTATTTACGTGGAGAGTCTTACAGGGACCAATGAGACTGAACACTGTAAGTATGCACAGGTTGGGAAAGTACCAAACAGGGGGACAAAAAGGGCTTGGTTGCAATAAAGTTGGATTTGAGTCTCCTCAAACACAGCTGTGCCACTGTCCACCATATGGAGTCTAAGTTTACGTGGAAAAGGGAAATATAACCCCCATTTTCAAGAAGTCTTACAGAGCAGTCAGTCTCACCTCTGTGCCTGGCAAAATCTTGGACTCCTGGAAGGCATGCTAAGGCACATGAAAAACAACAAAGTGCTTGGGGAAATCCTGCCTGACCAATTTGGTGGCCTTCTATGATGGGGCTACAGAACTGATGGACAGGGGTAGAGCAGTTGATGTCATCTACCTGGACTTGTGTAAAGCGTTCGACACTGTCCCACACAACATCCTTGTCTCTAAACTGGAGAGACATCAATTTGATGGATGGACCACTCGGTGGATAAAGAACTGGCTGGATGGCCGCATGCAAATAGTTGTGGTCAATGGCTCAATGTCCAGCTGGAGACCAGTAACAAGAGGTGTCCCTCAGGGATCAGTGTTTGGACCAGTCTGGTTCAACATCTTTGTTGGTGACATGGACAGTGGGATTGCGTGTGCCCTCAGCAAGTTTGTCGATGACACCAAGCTATGTGGTTTAATCGATATGCTGGAGGGAAGGAATGCCATCCAGAGGGACCTTGACATGCTTGTGAGGTGGGCTGATGCCAACCTTATGAAGTTCAACAAAGCCAAGTGCAAGGTCCTACACCTGGGTCAGAGCAATCCCAGGCACAGCAACAGGATGGGCAGAGAAGAGATGCAGAGCAGGCATGCAGAGAAGGACTTGGGGGTGTTGGTTGATGAGAAAATGAACATGAGCCCAGGAAGCCAACCGTATCCTGGGCTGCATCAAAAGGAGCGTGACCAGCAGGTTGAAGGAGGTGTTCCTGCCCCTCTACTCTGCTCTTGTGTGATCCCACTTGGAGTACTGTGTGCAGTTCTGGTGTCCTCAACACAAAAAGGACATGGAATGGTTGGAACAAGTCCATAGGAGGGCCATGAGGATGATCAGGGGACTGAAGCACCTCCTGTATGAAGACAGGCTGAGAAAGTTGGGGCTGTTCAGCCTGGAGAAGAGAAGGCTGTGTGGAGACCGCATAACAGCCTTCCATTACCTGAAGGGTGTGGATAAGGATACTGGGAAGGGACTCTTCCTTAGGGACTGTAGTGATAGGATTGGGGTAACGGGTTAAAACTTAAACAGGGGAAGTTTAGATTGGATATAAGGAAGAAGTTCTTTATTGTAAGGGTGGTGAGGCGCTGGGATGGGTTGCCCAGGGAAGCTGTGAATGTTCCATCCCTGGCAGTACTCAAGGCCAGGTTTGGACAGAGCCTTGGGTGACATGGTTTAGTGTGAGGTGTCCCTGCACAATGCAGGATGGTTGGAACTTGATGATCTTAAGGTCCTTTCCAACCCTAACTATTCTATGATTCTATGAAAATTCTGAGCTATGGAGGAGGTAACTGAAGTAAGCAATAATAGAAGACTTTAGGAATAGTCTCAAGTTTTTGACTTGAGAGAAATACAAATTGGAGAAGCCTTCTCTGTTACATGCACCACTGGTCTGTATCGCAAGCATTGCAAACTTTCTGAAAATGAGAGAAAAAGTAATTTTAACAAAAGACATTTATTTTGCAAAGTCAAGAGAATGGAAGCAGCGGGACAGAAAAGACTATGACCACAGTCAGGTCTTTTACCACAATGTTGTCAACCTTAACTGAGTATTTAACCTGGTGTTAAGTAATATCATCAATGTCTGTGATCTTTAAAAACTGGAATAAACTTAACCCCTCCACACTGAACAACAGATTGTAATACATTAGATACCCCTCAATTTATTTGCAACTCATGGATGAAAAAAACCTATATTACTTTGCCAGGCTGCCCTGTTTGGTGGCTGAATTAGTCACAAAGTCCCATAGCCAAAAATCAGCCCTACATGATTTTATTTATTTTTCTAAAGCCAGCACTTGTACTCAGTAAATCAAACACAGGCCAGCTTTTCTACCACAAGTTCAAGCTCCTGCGAAAGCAGCAGAAGTAGAAGCTTCCCAGCTCTTCCAAGGTGTAGCACATTCAGCAATAGCACAGCCTTGTTTAGTCAAAGGTGTAAGGAACTCCATGAGCAGAAGTAGAGAAGTTTGGATTCTGAACTCCGGAGATTGCTGCAACCTGCATGTCACTTTTCAGTGCAACTGGACTCAAGGTATTTATAAGGTGCAGAATGAAGGAGGTGTGCAGAGCTCTCTGGAGAATGGTACAGGGTGAAGGAAAGGTTATAAGGCCATGAGGCCTTATTAAATGGCACCCAACTCAGTTTTCTTACCACATGGTTTTGCCTTCTAACCACAAAGTAGGTTTGGAAAAGGATGTATGTAGATGGTATATGAGCCATGTATTTCACCACTAGCTCACTGCTGTTCAGAGAAAGCAAGTTATGTTGGTACCGTTTGTCAAAGCAATTTTGTGAAAGCAGGAACATCATGGCACATACAGGTTCAAGAGCTTAATTTCCAATCTCTGACACCCCTCTTCAATCTCCACCCTGCTGTTCTCTTTCTGAGCACCTGTAAATGGCAGTGTGTTTACTTTGCTACATCCAGTGGAAGATTCAAAAGATCTGCAAAATGCCACAGGTCTCCTACGCTAATCTTACATACACCTGTCCTAAAATTCAATAATTTCAAAGCATCTGTTATTGCAACATCTGGCTCCTTTTAAGACTTTTCTCACCAGTCAATCTCAAATGTAGTTTCTGACTCCGCCACTCAACTCATTGCCACTTTCCTCTTCAAGAAGTCTGAAAATAGTAACATAAAAGGAAAAGCCACTCTGCAAATGTACATGATGTGTACAGTACATCAGCTCTGGGATCCAGCATGAAATGTATCACTGCATTCACTGAAGTTTAGCAAATGTATGCATAATAAAATATAGGTGATACATGCATTGTCAGTGTATGTAAAACATGCACTTTATTCTGCACCCATAGTGCAAAATATTAGACCAGCTGAATATGCTAAACAAATAGCTCCACCTAGTTTCTAAATAATGTTATTTCTTAATTCACACTGATCATGTACTATTTGAATAAAACTGAAGGTGAACAACAAATTAAAGTAGAAAATACTTAAAACAATGCAGTAATGTGGGGTTGTCTCAACTGGACTTCTCACATTTCTCCATGTAAGCTTCCAAACTGGAGCTATACACCACAAATTCTTTCAACCAGCAGGTCCTCCTCCTCATTACAAATGCACTTACGTGGGAAGGAGTGAATCTGCCAGGCTTCATCAGTGTTAAGAGGCAAATTTAGGCACACTTAGGACCAATGATCTTGAACTAACTTTTGAATCTGCCAGTTTCAGCTCAGCATGGGTAACAGAGGTCTTCACTTTCTGTTCAGGTCTTCCTTTTCTCTTCCATTTCCTTTCAGATTCATCTCTGTGCAGGTGGTTCTATGTCCTTCAAGCTGTCCCCTTTTCCAACTCAAGATACATCTAAGGCTCTCAAGTTGTTGAGTCTGGTATTTTTTTTAACATTACTTTGTTAAGATACAGCACTTTCCATTTGTTCATGTAACTATAATTGTTACAACAGCTTTCAAAAGCTGGATTATGAATCCAACTGCAGCAACCACTCAGCTGGAGTGCAGACAGTCTCCTGAATTCCAGCCAGAATATTTTCAATAGCTTTAACAAGATTCATCCTGTTATTAGCCAGGTTTCTTTTGCTCTTCTAGATGGCCATTTCAAAACCTAAGTGGTTACAAATTTTTCTCTAAATTCAAGGCTAAACTTATTCTTAAACAAGTTATGCCCTGTGATCTACCCAATAATTATTTGCATAATCTTTCAGCCTTGGATCATTTTGAGTTATTGTTACTAAATATGTCCTTCAGCTTTGAAAGCTCATTTCTACAGTATAGTGCATGGGAAGTGTGAGATGAAAATATCCACTGTACCATCTATCCATTACTGTAAACTGGTGTGCTTTCACATGCAAAACTTCAATCTGAGTAGCATCACCAAAATCAGAGGCTTTCCAGGATGGCTTTGCTTTGGGCTAGTGATAACAGTGCATGGCATTGCTGATCTTACTGCACATTTAGCAGCTAAGAGCCACCTTCTTTGCTAGCTCTCATTCACTCATCTTCAATGGACTCCTCAAAGCCAAACTGTGGAAACAAAAGGATATAATGCTCTATAACACACTCTTATTCAACCTTGAATTTCATCCCAAGCTGAATGTCTGTTTCTTTATGTTACAGAGAGAAGAAACTCACAGGCTGGCTGCTATTTCATGTTGCTTTCCCATAGTGATAGGAAAGCTAACTTGGTATTTGCTCTAGGGAGTTTTGAAGAGGGGCTGCCTGGTGGATCTGTTTACCATAGGTGGGAACTGATTTAATGGATGCTTATAAAAATTTCCTTCTCGTAAATGTTCATGGAGAAAGATGACTTCACCGCCCTATACACAGTGGCGAAGCTTAGAACTCCTCTCTGACGACTGCATTAACAGAAATATTGCCAAAGTATTTTGTTTTTTCCCTACTATAGGTTTTGTATAGACTGACTATGTAAGAACAGAAAGAGGATTTTAATAAAACGTCCTCAGCGAGCTGCACAGGACGCATTTAAAGGGCTTGGTTTTCTAATTATATACCAGCAGGTCACATTTACTGTCACAAGATGGCAGCATAGAATAAGAGATACTGATAGGTTGTGTTTCATTTTTGATTCTATACTATAAATGTTGAATTTAGCAGTGAACAACATTAAACATTTCGCCTTTGGTGATAAATTTATTAAATACTTTACAGAAGCATAGTCACCTTTTTATTTCACATTCTCCTACAGAATTCTTTGGATTTTCTTCACAGTGAGTCTTTCAAAGAGAAACTGTATTTAGAATCAGACAAGTGCAAACAATTTATATCCACATCAGAATTATAGCAGAGTGAGTGATAATTCAACTCTTGATAGAACTCTTCACTGGCAACTACACAGATCTGATAGAAATCCACAATGAAAAGAAATAGTGAAGCAAAAGATGCAGTTTTAAAAATCAAGGGATTACTCATAAATACAAGCCTGGATGCATCAGTGACACAGAATAATGAACAGAGCTCTGTTCTGAAGGTTCCTGAGGTCAACAGAGAGCTAAGAAATGCCATAATTAAAAAGAATATATGCTATCTCAGGTGTGCGCAGCCCCTACAGTATACTGGCTTAGTCTGAATGTCTCCCACAACTTATCATCCCTGCAGAACCTGCAGGAGCCAAACAACAGGGGGGATACACTGCCCAGAGCATATTTTTCTCTTGCACCAAATATTCACCCCAGACTGCTTTGACATGCCTTGCACTGACCTCTGCAAGCTGTGGTGAGACTCAGTCTGCCAATACGACTAGCTGCACTCCAGTATTTTGGGAAGGCTTTTGGTTTTGCCTTGTTAGCCTAGCTGGGGCAAGTCTGTAGAATACAAAATATACTTAATTGCTGGCTGTTTCCACAATTCACAATGCTTTGTATTATTATTAAAGATGTTAATCACTGTTAACATGGATTGCTGGCTTGTTATCATTATTACAAGTATGAGGATTCAATGGGGTATATCACTAACGATTCCAAAATGCCCAAATGAAGAATGCATACTCAGACTTAATGGAATTTCTTCATCGCAGAAATGATCAGTCTCTGCATTTTAATTTTTTTTTTTGTCCTTCAAAATGGCATAAATTCAGAACCTGCAAATTAGGAACAAGTAAGAGACCCACAAGCAATCTTCTCCTTCTGACTGCTGATGTAAAGAAAGCCACCCAAGACCACATGGAAGCAGAAGCCCAGGTGAAGTCAGATGTTCTGGTACTGCCTCCAGTCTGGACCAGATTACAACAGCAGCATGTGGTAGAACTCAGTGACTGCTGATAAGCAAGACATAAATGACTTCTGTCAGCTTGAAATCCTTTTGTCAAAACTGCAAGAGGCAGCTGAAGCAGAAGATAGCAGAGAACTGAAGTGTGCCAGAGCTAGTTCTCTACTTGACCTAGCTCACTCAGGGAACTGCAAACATGGAAAAGCAGCACACAGCCACTTTAGGGCCCTCTTTGTTTTTAAGGGGAGCACTCAGTTACTGGTAATTGCTCATTGTGTGACCCTCAAAAGATCTATTGTACTGGAATTCATAAAATCTATGCATGTTTTGGTTAAACAGATAACATAAGCATGGCCATAGCTGATGAGAACTCTTACTTACAATGAGGCGGTATTCCGTCTCCAGCACCCTATCTTTAATCCCAGTTGATTTCCTGGGAGAATAGCACAAGAGATCCTGAAGTTTACCATGCTAGAATAAAAAGTGTTCCTGTAGGTAGATTTTTCTAACTCCCACCAGTTAAAAATTGGTTCATGGTCAAAATAATGAAGATTAATCCTTACCACAGAAGTGAATCTTTGCCAATGCAATTCTGAGTATTTTATCTTTTCTATTTGAAGCTGTTGTGTACCATAGCTACATGGCGTTACAAGAGCTTGTGTGTATCCCTATTTTGACTTAAATTCAGTTGTGTAGAGGGTCCCTATACATTTCAGTAGATTTTTTTAAATACAGTTATTTCTGGCAGGCATGATTACACAATCTTCA